ATATATTATATCTTTTGACTATAGATAGATATAGTTCTGTATTATTTTTATTATATATATATATATATATATACTAAAATAAACTACTACTTATTACCTGTACTCCCACTTTGCGGTTTTCCACTTATTGCAGGTGGACTGAGAACGGAAACCCATGTGATAAACGAGAGACTACTGTATTTGTTCCCTAACAGCTTTTCTCCATATTCCCATAGTTTCGTGCTCTAGCACCGATGTACTACAGAGGCTCAGCAGCGGCCATTATTGTTTATGACATCACAAAAGAGGTCAGTTTAATTTTTTATTCTCATCCACAAACATGTTGTTGAATAGTTTTGTTGCTTGTGTTTCCACGTGTCTCATTTATACATCTGCTAGAAGAAAATGTAAATCATTTATATGATAAAATAATATGAGGAACCATCACCACGGTGATGTCTACTTTCATGTTTAGTAAATTTGTAGACAGAGCCAGAAAAATTACTGACAATAAAACAAAACGAACTTTGCCCAAAACTACATTGAAAGTAGCAGATTCGATTTTTGAGGGTGCTTTTCTAGCTTTTAAAAACAAAAAAAAAATTCCACATGTTAAATTGGAAGCAAAGTGGTTTGTGTTGATAGACTTTGATAGTTTTTCTCAGCTGCTGCTAAAGAAATTCACTTTCAGCCTTGATTGTGATTTTTTATCAAATTTCACAAACAACATAACCCAACTACCTAACACACAATGACATTAGAGATTACAGTACATTATAGATGTTGTACAGAACAGTACAAAACAAACATGAATTAAAAGGATTTTTGAACTTTGACACAAGATAGTTACAAATTGACTCATCTAATTCTTGTTTATAAAATGTGTTTTCCCCACTGCTTCATGTATTACACTGTCACACAAGATACTACTGTATGTGCTTACCTGTGTATGTTTTATTGTGTATAAAGTTGTGTTCACTTGTGTCATTAGGAATCCTTCCAAACGCTGAAGAACTGGGTGAAAGAGCTTCGCCAGCATGGCCCTCCTGAAATAGTGGTCGCCATTGCTGGCAACAAGTGTGACCTTTCAGATGCTAGGTGAACCTTGGCCAGAAATAAAACTGCATGTGGTGTGAAATATGCTTCTGTGTTGTTGGAATTACTCTTAATTTGTAACTTAAAAGGTTTTCAGACACATAAATGGTAAATTTAGGCTTTTTGTTTCAAAGTAATATTTATTGCCTGCCTTGGAGGTGTTATGAATCTTGTATTTTCCATTTTGTAACTTTTATCTTCAACAGATGTTTAAACAGTTTGTCCACTGAACTGTGAAATCTCCCATTTTATATCAGTTCAGAAACATCCAGTGGTTGCTGAGAGAATCTTGTTCACATCTGGCAGCATGTTATGTTCAATCTATCTCTTATATTTACAGGGAAGTGCCAGAAAAGGATGCCAAGGACTATGCTGACTCTATTCATGCCATCTTTGTGGAAACCAGCGCCAAGAATGCCATTAACATCAACGAGGTGTTTACAGAGATAAGTGAGTGTTTCCTGAGTGCTTGGTGCTGCTCGCCTGAACGTTTTCAGATTCTTTATTTTGATCACCCTGGTAAATTAAGCAAACGTTTCTATGTAGATTGTAGTTTTCTTGCATTTAAAAGTTTGTATGTAGGAATTTATTTGAAAGATTTACGATTTTTACCTTTATGTAAATCCAGTTTGGGACACTACTCAACAATAACACAAATAATAATGTGTTTATTGAAGGTAAAGTGTAATCTAACTCATGATGACTAAATGGAACGGAAACTAATTCTTGGAGTCACTGAATATTAACAATTAGAAGACTCATATATGCATAGACACCATGAAATCTAAATGGTCATGGTTGTCAAAGTGTATTTGTGCTTGTCCTTTTAGGTAAGCGGATCCCTGTTATTGATGCAGCTGGAGGACCCTCGGGAAAAAGTTTCAGATTGGGACGGCAGGCCTCAGAGTCTCGCAGGACATGCTGCTGATGATGCTGGGTACTGAACTCAACGTGACCTGTGACCTGACCCTCACTCTTGACCCCCCACCCCCCCGTGCTTTTGATTTGCTTCGGCTTAAAGACGTCACACAAACTTTCCAAAACGCTGCAATTGCCCACATCTGGTTGCAGCTGTGTGTTTCTGATAGCGGTAGCAAATCCTTTTTTAATGGCACTCAGCAATAGCAAGTCTACATGTGATTTTGTCCAAATTTGTGGAAGAGGAAGTACTTCATGTTTACTGAGAACAGAGTATTCCATTCGTACATTTATGAAGAACTCTGTATGTGAAGTTTTCCAGGCTTCTCGGTAAGCATCAGAAGAATTTATACTTGTACATTTGTACAAATCTGTTATCTTTCAACCAAAAGATGCATTCAAGGAATTTAATCTAATTCATTTTGATAGATTCTAAACTATTGCCTTTGTTAAAAAAATGTTTGCAAGATGTCCCAGAACATTTTTTGACTTCATGAAGGAACCGTCTTTACCGGTAGGGTTTATCTGCTAATTTATTTACTTTAAAGGGAGAAGGAAATGTCACCACCCACAAGAGGATTGTGAATGTTTAATTTAACTTCTGCTAGATGCTTGCATTTTGAACCTGCCAAAAACCACAGAACTGTTTTCATGTAAACCTTAATTGTGCAGCAAACAATGCAGAAATGAAAGATGTGTTTGAGCACACTTCCCATTCGCTGAGAGAATAGTTCAACATTTCTAAAAGTTGACGTTGCTCTGATGTCTGAGGGGGTAAATGTGTAGCTGGAGCCACAAGATGTTTATTTAGGTTGACACGAAGAGACGAGATTAAAGGATTAGCATCATAAAATGGATGCATATTGCTGTTCGTCTTTTACGGTTTCACACTAAAATAATGTTGAGAAATGATGGAGTTGTAGCCGATTTGGTCAAACCTTGAGAATAAGATGTATCGTGAGATGTCACACTCAAGAGTTTGTGTTGTGAATTCCACCCTGCTACTCCTACAACAAATATTAGCACAGTGTTTTTTTTATTTACTTGGTTAGTCTTTTTTATTTTGACTTATGTTTATAAGCTGTGGTGGCCATCTTGAATTGGACTGACTCCAAAAAGTTGTAGATGTACTAATCGAATGATTCCTTTTTGAAAGTTTGATTAAAATCCATCCAGTTCTTCATGAGATATTTGGCTAACAGACAAAACTTTGATTGTTAATTAGCATTAACGATTGAAGTTTTAGGCAAAGACTTTGAGTGATGTGTATCACTTGGAGTATGGAAAGGACCTCAGCTACAACCACATCAAAGTTTTGATTCTGTAAAAGTTTCTGTAAAACTAACGAATATGTTGACATTTTTGTGCTTTTTAGAGTCGATTGGTTGTGGCGGCCATCTTGATTTGGGTTGACTCTGAAATTTTATCACTTATTACGTCCAAAGATTATTTCTTGAAAGTTTTATTAAAATCTGTCCTGCTATTTGAGATTTTTTTGTTAATAAAGTTGACTCAAAATGCAGATCATTCCAAGCTGCTGCCACAACAAATGTTGGCTCAATGTCTGAAATTTACTGTTATTCCAATTTTTGAGTTTAAAGTCAGTTGGCTGTGGCAGCCATCTTTATATAGATTGACTTCAAAAGATGATCAGTTGTAGATGCATGTCCAATGATTAATTTTTGCAAGTTTCATTTGTCCAGTGGTTCTTGAAACGTGTTAAAAGACATGGGCAAAAACATTATCCACCATTGCCTTTCGTCTGCAGTTAATAATAGCCTGCTTTTAACCAAAAATAAATAAATAAATCATCTAAGGATGTCAGAGTAAATGGTCTTGTTTATCCCAAAAAAAAAAAATTAAGAGCTTTGTTATTTTTCTCTTTTTGGCTTTAAATGATATTCTAATTGGCACATGTGAAGCCCTTGTGAATACCTATTATTGTAATTAAACCTCTGTGATCTGAAAGACTTTTCTGGGAACATCTCTCAATGTTTAATCAGAGCTTAAAACAGTGGCTGTTAATTATGGTGCACTAATGCTGCCATCTGCTCACATCTGTTTTACATTTCCCCTTACAATCACTGAAAACGTATTACCACAGGCTTGTGATTACTGTGCCCTCTGTTGCATACGGTATATATAAAAAAAATTGTTAGTGTTAGCTATTGACTTGTAAGCCCCCCCCCACCCTTTGGTTTTTTGCTGTTACGTTGCAAACAGTTAAATTGAGACGTGTGATTTTTGCGAGGCCTTGCCAGATCGTCCCATAAACTTTTTCATCCTTCTTTACTCCCTTAATCAACACCAGCAGTCACACCAAGTGTTGTTTATCTACTTGGCTTGTGATGAAAAACGTGAGATCTGGAAAGTAAATTTAATTTAAGAGGAAACTCATATTTTAAAACTGAAATCTCACATTAGCAGGTTTTTATAGGTGGAGAATCAAACGTGTGGACATGCTGGCCTGTTACTGAACCTCTGTATCCATTCTGCACTGAATCACTGTCGCTTTTGTTCCAGATTCTGCTTACTGATTTTCTTTATTCACTTTTTGTGCCCGATTTGTGTTGAACTCTAGGTCCTTACTGTTTACTTTATTTGTGGTTGCATTTACAGTTTCACATGGCTCTTAACTAAACGCTAGTGACAGACGTGTGGGCCAACACTGAGATGTTTGTGCAATTGTTTTTTTCTCTCCAAGTTTTAGTCTACAAATGTTGTGTAAAAATAACAAAACATGCATTTTTCTTCAGTATTGTTATAATTTTAAATTATGTAACTGTTACTCATTACTTGTTTTCAAAGGAGCGCTTTGTCATTTGAAAGCTTTTCGTTATGAATGGTAATGCTTTAACTTTAAATTTGACTTGGATCTTAGCTTCCCAAACTCCATGAGATGGTAAAAAATAATCTCATTTATTGCTAATTAGATGACCATTTTCCTCAGACATAAATTAACGGCATTAAACGTGCCAGAGTGTCTGAAACAAACCAAAAAAAAAAAAAGAAAAACTTGTTTTAAATTTCCAGCACTATTGTTACACCACCTTCAGCTGGTCTTTATCTCAGCTTTTATTAACATATTCAAAAAGTACAGTACTGAAAGACATTTAAAAGCTGCACTTTGACTATTTTTATTAATTAGCCTCTAATATTACAGCTGTGTCCGCAGTCCATTATCTTATGGAGTCCATAAAACAATCCTCCAAAGTGTCTCAACTTTATTATGTCCCTTGATGTCATTTTAGGTTATTGCTTTTTTTCTTCTTGCTACAAAGATGGTGGTGCCAAAGCTGTTTTACCACATTACACAATGAATTTACCCATTTTCTAAAACTGTATATATGATAATATGATTTATTGTACTAATACCATTAATGTTTGAACGATGCTGTACAACATGTGTCTTTGCACGTTTATGAAGAAAGAAGGCATGACATTACCAGTTGTTTTTCATTGAAAAACATCAAAAGTCTTGGGCTGGCCCTGGGAATCTAAATCTATATTATGTTTCTTTTTCGACTGTATATGTCCTCATGTTACGTAAAAATGTATGTCTGTGCTCTTCTTTTTTCCTGTTTGTATGAACAGAATATCTCTGCACATCTTCTGCAGTACATCTATCAGCAGTCCAGTATTTAGCTATTTACTATATTTCAAATTGATTGTAACAAAATGCCTGAAAAGACTTGTTTGCAGTGTAATTCCAGATGTGTGAAAAGGGAATTGTCACCTTGTTTACTAATAAAACTGAGAACAAGAAACTGAATGAGTGTGTGCATTTAACCTGACTGGAGTTTCTCATTCCTGAGAGACGTGTGCATTAACATGCTCCTTAGGGAAACGGCCACAAAGTTGTCGGTTGGTTGTGTTAAGTTTTCCACCAGCTGCCCGTCTATATATAAAACATGGCAATTGAGATGTGTGTTTGACTGGCACCGGTCTTTTCACTGCACTTCAAGTCATGCTGAAATAGCAAAACATTTCACTGACCTCCAATTCTCTACTACACTATACAGTGGTTCTAGTGGTAATTATCTTATAGTAAAAATTTTGTTACAACAGTAAAATACTTTGTTTGCATAAGGTTTTCCCACTTGCAAAGCTTGTAGATGACTGTAATTTTTATCATAGGTACTCTTCAACTGTGAGTGATGGAATCTAAAACAAAAATCCAGAAAAATACAATGTATGATTTTTAAAT